CTAGGCCCACCGCACAGGAAAGGTGTGGTGTTAAACCTCAGACGACTCCTGCGGTATGGGGAGACTAAGCCAAAAAATAAACATGAGCGTGTTCTAGCACTAGAAAAACCCCCAGTAAAGACAAATTTTAAATCTCTGTAGATAACACAGAACACACAGTGAAAAAATCCCTTCTGAAGAGAACCTTATATCTTACCTTCACACCCACCAAGAGAAAGAATAACTAAATACAACAGAGCCTTCCCTCCAAACCCCAAAGAAAACCTGGATATAATAGAACAGGTTGAGAGAAGAGTTAAACATGTGCAAATAGAACCATAAGGTAAGAAGAGGTGAATTTGGAAAAGAACCAAATAGAACCCTCACAGACCATTTGTTAAAAGAATTACTAAAAATGTATTCAGTAGAAGGAAACTAAACCCAGAAGGAAGGGATAGACTGAAGAAAAGCAAAGAAGTTAGTAAATATGTTGGTTTATTTATGTAAATATAGGTTGGAAATGATAATAATGACTAATGGAGGCTTAAAAACAAAGTGAAACTAAAATACTAGGCAGTAACATAGAAGATGAAGAAAAGGCATTCTAAGAGCCTTTTATTTTCAGGAGGAGGACAGAAATACTGATTCACTTATCTATTAAAAACTTAAAGGCTGGGCGCATGGTGGCTCACGCCTGTAATCCTAGCACTTTGGGAAGCCGAGACAGGAGGATCGCTTGAGGCCAGGAGTTGGAGACCAGCCTGAGCAAGAGCAAGACCCCATCTCTACTAAAAAACAGAAAAAATTAGCCAGGCAGGTGGTGCGTGCTTGTAGTCCCAGCTACTTGGGAGGCTGAGGCAGGAGGATCATTTGAGCCCAGGAGTTTGAGGCTGCAGTGAGCTACGATGACGCCACTGCACTCTAGCCTGGGCAACAGAGTGAGACCCTGTCTCAAAACAAAAACAAAACGTAAGCATAACTGCTAAAGGAACAGAAATAAAATAACACTTCCAAACCAGTTTCAGGGCATGGGAGGTGTTAAAGGGAGCTATCAACCTGACAGAAAACAAGAATGAAGGAGAGAAAGACATTATAAATAGAAAACACAAAATAAGGTTTCACGTATGTGCGTAGCTATATATGATAACAAAATAAGTTCATATATGTCCATTTTAACAAATAAATATGGAGTCTTAGTGACTGTAAGATTAGATTTTTTATTTATTTAGCCATATGCCACTGGTGAAATACACTTAATGTAAAGTTTAGAAGTCCCTCTCTGCTTTGTGAATCTTATAATTGAATAATATCAGGATGAGAAAATGGTATTGACAAGAACTATGATTTCTTGCCTCAGAGACTAGGATACCATTAACTAAGGCTGATAGATAGGAAAGTGCCACCTTGGAAGTGAAAATAAATTAACATTTATTGAGTTCTTCCTATGTCTTAATTGGGGCCTACAAAGGAAATTGAGAAGGAGCCTCAGAGAGAACTCATGGTCTGTGTCATGGAAGCCCAGACACAGGAGGAGAACTTGCAGTGTGTTATGGTATGAAAGCCCAAAACAGAAAGAATTCAAGAAGAACAGAGATTTCAAAGATGAGGAAAATGATCAACAGTATCTGTGCTGGAAAAAGGTTGAGCAGAATTAGTATTGAGAAGCTGCCTGCGGATCAAGTTTTAAGAGGACAGATTAGTAGGGTATTGGGACTACTGGTAAGAGACTAAGAAAGAAAGTGGGAAGGAAGAAATTGAGGAAGCACGAGTGGATTTCTCTCTCAGGAAATTCAGCACCCAGGGGAAGACGGAGTGGATGGTGAAGCAGTCTCAAAGGAAGTTATCTTGGAACAGGTGACAACCGTATTGAAGAATAAAACCTTAATTATCTAGATCCCTTAGGGAAATAAGCTTCCTGGGTAACCATCTTTTTCTAGGTGACCTAATGCTTGCTTTTTAAAATACCAAAGCTAATTTTGACCATTTTAAAGTCACTCAGCCATAGCAATATCAGAGTGGTCTCTGGCCTTTAACTACGGACGATGCTCTTTCACGACTTGAACAAAGCTGGTCGGGCATCGTTTAAGCTTGTTTCCATCTCTCAGTCATTCCCCCAAGACTGCAGGACCTGTTGAGGCCTGTTTGCCTCTAGACTAAAATAGCCACACAGAGCGGTGTCTTGAGTTCCTGTATCTGTTTTTTTGACATCTTTCAGAGTATCTTTCTTTTTTTTTCCTTTTTTTTTTTCACATGTGACGGGTAATATGCTGACAATGGAATGAGGTGTGAGGGAGGCACATCTCATCATATATGAGCATGAAAACCCAATCACCATGCTTATGAGCCACAAAAAGATTGCATATCTTTTATGGCCAGCTGTATTTTCTCATAGCCTGCCATAATTTTCTACGTTTAGTCTGCTCATGAGCTGGGCTAAGGTGTGTTTAGCCCTAATAGATGAATCATCTCTATGTATCAACTCTGCCAGGTTTCTGAACCTGAAAAGCTAAGGTCCACAGCGTGGTCAATCACTAGGATAATAAATGTCACTCTGATAGTGCTGGTGGCCTTTCTCTACATGTTTATATCTCAGATATACAGTTTAATATAAAACTAAGAGTAACCTGGGGTGAACATCTGAGAGGCTTTTCTTAATGTAGTATACGAACTACAGTATGTGAATTTTGAGACATTTACTTGGCTTTTCTGCGAAAGGCATCTTTGGAGGCCTTTCTGTGTATTTCCTGATCTAGGAGGAGGAGAACCCTTGGAAACAACTAACTGGTTGCATTTTCCCTCAAGTGTAATTTAGAGAGTTCTGCCTCAAAATTGATAATTCTGTCAATACAGATAGAAAAAGGTGGTATCTTTCCTACCCACCTACTACTTATCCTCTAGGAGGAAAGGCATTTATTTTGGATTCACTATAACATCCTTTCCTCTGTAGTGCACGCTACACTTCTGTCTGCTACCTGGCCTGTACGAGTAGCGTTGGTTCTCAACAACCATACAACTTGTAATCGTCACAATCCTGAGCTCATTTGCTAGAGCACTTGTTCTTAAATAATGGAATGATGCATTCCATTGCATCATGCAAATCTCTTTTAAGATGAGAGCCTGTAAATTCATAAGGGGTTTTACCAGAAAAATGGAGAGACTTCTGGGGTTCTGAATTCCATAACTCACAGTTCCGAAGGCGAGGCCGAGACCGTCCAAGTAGGGCAAAGTCGCTAGCAACACCTTTTACAACATCTTGTAAAAGGCCAACAGGCTGGCGTCCGAGAGCGTTATAGAGTGACATTTATTATCTTGGTGATTTACCAGCCTGGCTCTTAGCTTTTCAGGTTCAGAAACTGATTTAATCAAGATACAGAGAAGAGATTCATTATCAGAGTTGGGCTCACCTTAACCAAACTCACAAGATAGATCTGTAAACCAAAATGCCAGTTGACATGTATACAAAGAAATATAACTGATAGAGCCCATCCTTTCCCTGTAGGCAGGCCTGCACAAAGGCAGAGCATCATCAGAATGTTATTTGGTGAACATGAAATCAGAATAAAGGTGAATCATGTGTTTAATGGCGTAGGCCAAAAGAGTAATCCATCCCACACCAAATATGACCCTGTCAGTGGAACTGTTTCTTTGAAGTCTGTCAACTAAGACTTCGGTTGCCCTGATCAGTATTTGGATAGACACCTGCCAGTGTTTAGTCTCATTTTTTATGCCTCAAGGCTAACCCAGGCCCAGGCCCAACCGAACAACCTCCCAAGTTGGTCTTTCTCTAAATGATAACACTTTCCATCAGCTTATAGTGTCATTCTTTTTTCCTTAAGTCTACAGTTTAAATCTCAATAAGCAATCTCATTTCCAAATTCTCAGTGGAGCCCTTGGTGTACTTCCCTTGGTCAAGAGGAGGGTGGCCTTGATAAGGATGAGTGGGACAGCTCACCCACACCAAGGCTTATCAGTCATTTACAAAAAACCCTCACATTCTTGCTATATTCCTATGCTATGTATACTATCATCAATATTTTTATTTTGGGTATGCTACCTTGGTGATGGGTACACTTATACCTTTGACTCAAACTGCACAAAAGCAAATCATGTAATCAAAACATTTGTACCCTCATAATATTCTGAAATTTAAAAAAAAATTCTTTTAACGACTCACATTTAAAAAAAGTTTTATTTTAGGCCGGACGTGGTGGCTCATGCCTGTAATCCTAGCTCTCTGGGAGGCCGAGGCGGGCGGATTGTTTGAGCTCAGGAGTTCGAAACCAGCCTGAGCAAGAGCAAGACAACGTCTCTACTAAAATTAGAAAGAAATTAATCGGACAACTAAAAATACATAGAAAAAATTAGGCGAGCATGGTGGCGCATGCCTGTAGTCCCAGCTACTTGGGAGGCTGAGGCAGGAGGATCGCTTGAGCCCAGGAGTTTGAGGTTGCTGTGAGCTAGGATGATGCCACGGCACTCTAGCCCAGGCAACACAGTGAGACTCTGTCTCAAAAAAAAAAAAAAAAAATTTATTTTAAAAGGTGATTTATTCAATATATCCCTACCACCAATGGAAAATGACTATCGTTTGTCACAAAAGAAATATAGCCCTAAAAATAAATATATTGAAAACAAAAGTTCTTATTTTTCCCATGTACTTTTTTTAGCTAGATACTGTTTGCAACAGAAAGCTCTGTGCCTGAGTGGGTCTTTGTTAAGATACACTAGCACCAAACTGAGACTCTCCTTAGTGTAATCAAAAACATCAAAAGAAGACCAAACAGTACAATAATTTAGAAGGTTATTTAATGTATGTAGGGCCTCGTCCCACTAACATCTAAAAACAAGTCTCACGTTAGGTTCCCACGTTTTGGCAAAAGATGACTAGGCTTTTTCCTACCACGAGGACATTTGAAACTTGCTTATGCAACTGTAGTGATGCCTCCTCCTTCCCCACCTCGCCTGACCCACTTCTGCCTGATGCTGTACTGACTCTCTCATTCCCGCCTCTCCCTGCACAGGTACACACTGGCAGCTCAGGACCTGGTGATGCGTGCCCGGGGTGTCCTGAAGGACAGAGGATGGCGGATATCTAATGACCGACTTGGCTCAGGAGACGACATTTCTGTTTATGTCATTCCCTTAATACATGGAAACAAACTATCATGAAAATGGCCCAGGGGATTGGGAGGATAGAGGGGCAGGAAATCTGGAATGCCTCTCAGCAAGGTGGAACTGGGACGTGCCCCGGCTGAGTTCCAAGCGATGCAGACTCTTCCCAGCCCAGGTGGGGAGTTTGCTGCCAAAAGGCCTCTGGCTGTGCTTCAAGATGACCATTAGGTTTCCATGTCTTCTTTAGTAACAGGTCAACTCTATAAGAGCAAAACACAAAGGCTGCTACTGAGTGTTATATTTCTGTTAGTTCCTTTTATAGGCCTCCCAGGTCGCCTTTGCCTATTTGGGGCGCATACATCATATTAATATTTATTTTATCTAGAGTAGCTGGGCAGCCATCTTCAGGTGTAACAGGCAGGAGACTCTTCCGCCTGTCAAGCTGCCAACTTCTCTCTGGGTTAAAAAGTGCTGCATTGGAAAGTTGGGAACATGCCTCAAAGTGTAAGCACCCACCTTCTAGTAAGCCTGACATTGATTTCAGGGATTGCTGCCTGTGCGTGTGCACACTCGTTCTCTCTCTCAATCTCTCTCTCTCTCTATCCAACTCTATCTCTCGGTAATGGTGGGGTGAGGCAGGGATTTTTCCTTTTTGGACATTCCTTGAATCTTTATTTTTTTCCCTTCCCTAGAACAGGACTGGGAATTTCCAGCTCCTTGCTGAGGAATTTCTGTGTCAGAGTCCAAGCCGGGCTGGCTTGTCCCCATATCCTCCAGCCCACACAACCAAGGCAGCCATCCGGGAAAGCGCCCTGCATGACACAGCGTCTTTGTTGTGTAATATTTGTTCCCGAGTTGCATTTCCTCACCAAATCAGTGTGTTTTCGTGAAAATATATGGGTGTTTCTTTGGACCAACAGTTTCTCTGTTACCGTCAATGTCATCTCCCTTATGCGGCCTGAGGTTTCTCTGTGTGAGTCTGCACCTTCCCTTCTGGAGTGGTTGGCCCTGTCCCACCTGCTGTGTCATGGGGACATGTGTAAAGCAGGGTCTAATGGGGCAGGTTGGGAAGTTTATTGTATCTGTAGGTTCACCATACCTCATCTGAGGATGATTTTGGATTCAAGTTTCATGAGCTGTAACTGTCCCAAGCCCACTTCAAACTAAGCGTCAGTATCAGAGTTCTGTCAAGGAGCAGGAGTTCTACTCTCCCTGTCATCTTTGTGCAGGTCCCATTAGGAATGGCACTTTGATGAAAGTGAATTCGCATAGGGTTGACTGGTCATTTTTTTGCTATGCTCCCTGTCCCTTCTCCAGAGAGTCATGTTCTAGCCACCCCAAAACTGAGACCCCTATTCCGACTGTAGCTCCACCTATGAGTGTTCCACACAGGAGCAGCAACGGCAGTGGACACTAGATGGACCTGCTGCTTCTCTACCAGGAGGGACGACAAAGTGGACTTTAAAAATCACTTGTGTCTCTTAGGCAGACTAGACTGCTGCTCCATACCAGGGGACCTTGTAGAACAACATCTAATTACCTAGTCTTCTTCCTGCAGAGCTACCGGGTGTTGTCACCATTTTGACAACTTTGTGTAATTAAAACACTTTTCTAGACCCAATAAAGAGGTCATTGGTGTGATCCCCCAAAATGCTAATTTCAGTTCTCAAGTTTGTCTTTTGAATACCTCCCCCAGAGGAGAGGATAGGAACCTTTCCTCTAGGGTGGTAAATCACTACATTCCTGGAGTTGTAGATACTTTATTCAAAAAGGCCTGGAGCCTTCCTACTCAGGAACGAATTCATTCCGCAGTGTGGAAACAGTGCCCTGTCTGGCAGGTGAAGTACTGTGGGGAATTCACCCCGCCAGATGTTTGCCAAAATGTTGCCATGGAAGAATTGGACTACGACCTTGTCAGAAGTCATCTTCATCTGACAGCTTTTCCTCCTTTTTCGGTAAATCTTAGCTACCCTCAAACCTACCCATCCCAAAAATCTCTTTGGGGAGAAATTTATGGTAAACTGTTTGCCTTCCTGGCAGAGTCTGATGCTGTGGGGAAACTTGTGGGCATCCTACAGCAGTGAGCTCTGCTTTCTGCTCCTGCCCTGATTCTCAAAGTCACATATAAATGGGAAACTTGAGAAAGTCTTCCATGGAAGACCCTGAGACCTTTGGGATCTTTCCTGTGTCCCCATTGCTTTTCATTTCTTTGCTTTTCTGGGCCCAACCTTGACCTTCTCTAGTTTTATTCCAGCCACCAGTGTCAGAATTTTGGTATAGATATCATGACAACCTTCTGCTCAACTTACCAATTCACTTACTGCCAAGGCATGTCTCAGGAAAAACTCTGGAAACCGCTAATTCAAAATCTCCTAAAATCTTGAGAATTTAGTCCTGCTGGTTTTAGTTAGAAAGGCATCCAGGAATTCTTTCCAAAAGCCTCCTTGGGTGGAAAGATCTTAGTAGCAAGACAAAGCCATGCTCGTGTTTGGGGGATGGGAGGAAGACTACAAATGAGGTAAATAAATCAAAAGCGGGGAATATGATTTGTTAATGGCTGTGGCACATCTGCCCGGCACTGTTATTGCTCTGTGAATTGAGCTTTCTCACTTTAGGCTTTATTTTTCACCTGGGCCCAAAGTCACCCCATTCCAGAATAGTGAGTGTGTCTACAAAGCAGGTCGGCCCTTGGAGCATTCCTGGACAGGTCAAGAGAAAACACCCTTCAAAATTCTGCAGAACATACTTGTATATGATTCTGAAATCTTGTGTATCTGATTTATAGCCAAATCTGCCTGCCCTAATAGCCTCAGAGGAAGTCTTGTTAATACTAAGCTTTTGATTTTCCTAGTCAAGTGTTTATGGTTGTCTTAGGGGTGTGTGGCCACTTCCTTTAATGAAAGGCTTTTTCAGCTCTAAATCTCTTTGTTGGGCTGGCTCTTCACACTATTTGGTGAAAGTTTTCCTTAAAGAGAGTGAACTCACAGTCCATCCGTACTCCAGTGTTTTGCGAGGCAATGACCAAAAGCTGTTTTTGGAGTACTGAAATCAGGGCAATGTCAGCAGTCAGGGGGTGGAAGGTGTGTTTTGCTGTGGTTGTGTGTACCTACCTGCTGTTGTTGAGGCAGGAAACAGAGGGTGAAAATCTGGCTGGGCCAAGTATATTCCGCTGTCTAATAGGACAGAGCCTTAAAAAGTCAAAATTTCAATTATTTTCCACAGTATTCAGTTTTGAAGGATTTGGGGTGTTTAATTTTTTAATAGCTAGCAACTTACCTCCACGGGGCTTTGTGAAGTCAGCTGTGGCCACCCTCTTCTTACTCTTCTCTCTAAATACTCATTTACTTCTTGGAAAGAGTTATAGCCACAGGTAGATATTGATGGGCAAGAATGAGAGTCCCAGGACCCAGATTTAGCCTCAGAATTTGGCCATTTGGGGCAGGGTTTTCAATTTACTCAGAGCACTAGAGTGGAAACGCTTGGGAGAAATCTCCCACATCTTTACAATTCTGATTCTCCTCTTGATATCCCCTCCTTCCCTCCTTCCTCATCTGCCAATCAACTTTATTTGTAAGGCCACGAGTGGTCAGTGGTTTTCTTTTCACTCGTTTAAGGATCTAACCTTTCCTTAAGTGCCCCAGGAGCTCCGCTGTTTTCAGAGTGAATATGTTAAGCTTTGATGAGATTCTATTTTCAGTAAGTTAGTGCTTCTGGGACACGTGGAGAAAGCAGTGAGAGTCATTGTCTATGCAAGGAACAACCAGGCTGACCCTAAAAGTTATCAAATCTAAGAAAACGGGAAAATGGTCTCTGGCAGGACAGAGTTTTACATTAGGAGCTCAGATCTGTGAGGACTTAGCATTGCAGAGAAATGTTGCAGCCTGGACACCATAGCCCACTTCTCTAGGCAAACTTTGGCTTTGTGTGGGTGATGTGGCATACGTGTGTACACTGGGATTTATCAAAGGACACTAGACAAGCAGCCTGACTCGCCTCTTCTGTGAGCATCGTGGCTTTTTGTCAGATTTGAGCGCCAGTCCCGAGAGTGCTGCTCTTTCAAATCCATAGTGTTATCTGTGTAAATAGCTTTAATTTTTCCTCTGCGTCCTAAGTGAACTTTTGTTCATGTAGCAACCAGGTAGACAGTGACCAAATAAGGTTGTAAATGTGCTGTTGTTTTTTATTGTGATGTACTTGAAGAAGGAGAACCCGTGTCCTCCACTCTTCTGATCTCTCATGAGTATTTTGTGTTTGTTTGGGGTGTCCCGAGGTTACCCTTTTACTCCTGTTTTGCCTCCAATTTTCTATGTTTCTTCTGGAAACCCGGGGAGGCCCATTCTGGAGATCATCTGTAAGGAATGTATCGTGGTCTGGGTTTCCAAAACTACCCTCCGTACAGTGAATGAGAGAAATCTGCCTGGAAGTGGTTTCAGAACCATGTACCTTTATGCTTTGTGATTGTGAAACATTGACTTTTGTAACCCAAAAATGAAAACTGTTCAGTAAAGGGGATCTATTTTGTGTGTTTTGAAACTTAGGTGCAATTTCCCCTGGAAAAAGCTAAAGAAATGTATATGCTCAATGACATTTTAAAATAAAATATTATATATATATATATGTATATAGGACATCTTTAGCAAAACTTTTTTGTGTGTATTTTCAGTGAATTCACCGTGATGTTCCTTCATATCAGGTAATGGCATGGTATGAGAGAATCACGGTTTAATGTGAGGTTATCAACTGTGAACACAGACTCAAAAGAAAATCAAAAGGAAATGGATGCCAACACTATACGCCTTCGCAGGAATAGCAGCAAAGGCTAATAATACATTTCAGCTATGCCTCTGAGTCTAGAGAAACTACCATGGATAGTGTGCATAAACACATGAAGAATTCAGAGAAAAGAATTACTCCCAAGAGGTATCCTTAAGTGAGAGGGCTGGTGCCTAATCTCCTTGCTGAGGACAGAATCAAGACTCGCCTTAATCACTTACGCATTTTAAGTATGCACTTACAACATGTTAGTAAAATATACTGTTTTATAGAGAAAAGTTACCGTGATAGGTGGGGTAAGGAGTCAAAGAATGCTAGTTCTGCTTTGTTCTAGAATCCGGAAAGTTAAAAATATCTAGAAAGTATCAACAATATGTTAAAAATGATGACAGTATTCACAAAAATAGCTAACACTTGATTATAGCTTATCCGAAGCTCAGTTAGGAAG